GATTGACGTAGATTTAAAAAAAAATAACGGAAAAGTAACGAAAAGTTACTTTCTCAAGTAACGGTAACTGTAACGAGTTACTTTTAAAAATCGGTAACTAGTAACGGTAACTTGTTCCTTTTTCTATTCGCTAACGAGTAACTGTAACTTGTTACTTTTAAAAAGTAACTTTCCATTCCCTGTAGTTTTGTTACATATTAGTTGCAATATACTTATTAATGTGGAAAGAATATGTATACCTCTCAATAATTATTTCAAAATAATAATTTATATATATTATGATAAATTTTTTACGTAAACAAATTTTATTTTTTTATATGCCTATATAAACGCTAATATATCATTGCGATATCATCATTAAACACATCGTTGCTAAATGTTTTCCAGATAAATTTCAAGAAAGAGCTTGCAAATTCTTGAAGTCTCTCTTTCGAGCAGTAGGTAACTTATCTACATCAAAGAATCAAGAAAACACAACAGATTTATCCACGGAAATCTTATAAAGTTATCATCAATCGCAATGTCTAATATCTGTTTAAATCTGCATTTAAAATGAAGAATATAATGAAACCTGTGATAGTTGCCAACTATAGAAGCCAACTATAGATTGATTTACGGACAAAATAAAAATTATAGAGAAAGAATTATAACTCTGACAGTATAACTTAAGTAAATTGCAATACAATATGGAAAAATAAAGAATATTAGTTTTTAAAATGGAGCATAGGTATATTTTAAGACGAGGGTGACGGGGAAGATTTCTCTCTTTCCTGTGCCTGTGGCGCGGAAAATCGCGGCGTTTACGACAGTCCTTGATTTTGCCGTCGAGTGCCGTAATTCATTACCTAATGCCCAGAGCCAACGACGATAAGTTGTGTGTAATGCACGGATGATTAAAGTAAGCATCTTAGTGGATCAACCTTTGGTTTGAGAGATCCGAGATCTATTTCCGACACGCGGACAGTCGTAGCTGTCCGTCGCGATTGGCTGACTCCGCCGGCTCGTCGCGGTGTTGGCCGCATTTTCATTCGTTTCTCCGTTAATCGGGTCACTTCCGCTATTCGATTTTCGCATCACCGAAGTGCCACACTGAATCGCGGGATTGATGCGCGAAATGATTCATCCTTGGGGAAACTGCAACGCGCGCGTCAGATCATAACTTGAATGTAATTTCAATTTTTAATTTTCGAAATATATACTCTACATCGTCTTTAATTTTTGCATTAATTATAAAATTTTGTCAAATTAATACAAAAATAATTTATAGCTTTGTAATTATTATTAGCTCTCTTTATTACGATTGCAATCATTGATGCAATAAACGCAAATTATGTGCTAATCCATGATTTTTTTAGACGTTTCACTAGAATGAAAATATATTGGCCTTGTGTTAGTGAACGATACAGCAGCTTACGTGGTCTAAACACATGGCCCCGGAGTTATCATTAGGAAGAAAACTTTTTCTCAAATACAGGTCGCGATCAAAGATTAGCAATTTACATAGTACTCCTATCAGTAATTTAATTAAAAAACAAAAGATAAATTCACATCCCCAAATAACAATAAATTTATAAATTTGTCTATCTAACTAACAATTTTTTAATATTATAGGAAAAATGTTTAAACACCAATAAAATCAAATTAATTCCTTTGTCATTAATTAATTGCCGCAAAAAATTTAACAGGCCAAAAAAAGCAAAATTATAAAAATTTTGTGAATGTTAATGAATTGATTGACTTGAAATTACAGTAAAAGTAATTAATTACATTATCAGCTTCTATTACCCTCAGCAAAGTAAACCAAGCTTCGTTTGCGTAGTTTACTAAATAAAATTTACGCGCAAATTTCTACAGTGTCGGCATGTATGTATAACTCTGTTTATACGAAACTAAAAACTTGGCCTTCCTACGGTTTGATTCATTGGATGCTTGACTCTGGGAAACCGTGCCAGGAAAATAGTGCAGCTATTTTATGAAGTACCTTGAGCACGACTAGAGCGATGCATTGCATTTGGCCAAAAATTTCAGGCTGTGTACATTATCACGGTTGGCCGTCTCACTGTTTTGATCGCGAGAAAAATTCGCATTCTTGACGATCTTTAGGACATAGCTAAACATATTTTGTAAATATTAATATACTATCGTATAATGTAATACTTAAAAAATCGTATAATATATTTGTTTAATAAATATATTATCAATTTGTAATTCTAAGTACTAAACGAATCAACGAAAAAGTGAATTGTATAAATACTATTACAGAATAACATTAAAATAAAATTAAAAATTTCAAAAAATCTTGTACACCTTATTTTTTAATTAAATTTTTTAATTAATAGAGTTTATATTATGTTACTTTTCTTTCAATTTAATATATGGGATATAAAAGTTGTCTTAATAGAACAAACTATTCAGTTACTTAAGTGTAATATTTCGAAAATTAAGACCGACACGAACAGACGTTTAGTTGACGGCGACACCGAATCCAGACCATAACTAATTAACCACATTTATTAATCTGTGTCTGCCTCGTTGAAGTGAAATATCATATATCATCACAACGGGGTCTCCTCGTTCAGGAAGACTATCATCACGCTTTCGTTTTCGCAACGTGCTACGCTTTCGCATGGCAGAATGTCAGTATTTTATACATGTCACTTAAAACAAATCGGACGGTATGACAAATAGATCATAAAATTATTATTGTTACTATCAAGATCAATTGCAAGTGTCATTCGCTACAATTTGAGCGACCAATAACTTTTCTCGTTCAAAGCGATAAGTGATCGTAGTTATTGATACACTTATCTGATTCGAGTATTCGACTTCTAGTATTGATTCAGAATTATAATTCTGACAAATTTAAATCTTAATATTATATAGACAGAGTAGAATAATAATATAATATTTACAATGTTAACGAAGTAGATTTTATAAATGACATTAGTTATAATAGACTTCGTTTCAATTGTAGTATCTTCATATATAAAAAATATATAGATAATTGTATATTTATGCCTATAACATTGGTTAAACTTTAAATGAATTTCTCGATATATCGATACTAATCGAAGACGACAGCGTTTACATTTCTAACAAGTATGATATTTTGTACTTGCACACATACATACATAAACCGTTCACAGCAGAATATACATGTCAGAAGTGTAGGGTAAGTTGGACAGGGTGAGGTTCCTCGACGAACGGAGCGAGAGACGACCTGACCTATCGAACGAGCTCTACATCGGAATCAGCACCTTAACGCTAACATTCGACACTTGCACAACACACTCGCGCGAAAATAGCACCAACGAGCTGAGCTGACACGAGACGAACGAGAGAAAGAAGAGACAACAGCCAGAAAGGGAAATGTGATCAGGGGAGAAAGAAGAACATAACTGTCCTGGGGGGAGAGAAAGAGGAGAGAGCTATGCACTGACCTCCAGGACCTTCGAGACTGCCTCGGCTTTCACTCACCAACCCTCGGATTATCGGCTTTAACACGTAAAGGGGAAAGCAATTGAATTACGTATACAAAATGATCTTCCTCGTCGATCTCCGTCGACGTCGCCGAGTCACTCGCTCGCCACTTCGACTACCTAGGAATCCCCGAATAAATCGCCCGAGCCAGTGAGGAAGCCAGCCGACGGCTATCTCGAGACTGCTACCAATGCCAGCGACAACGCGTCCCGATGCCCGAACGCAGTTTCTTCTTCTTCTTCTCTTCTCTACCTCCTCATCGCCATCGATAATCTCTTCGACATGATGCTCCGAATTGCTTTCTTAAATTTTTCCTCTTAATCGCTATACCTCAATTCTGTTCTTCAAACATTACGTTAGTCCTACAGGACGATAAAATTCCCTCCTATTTTTAAATTGAACTACACCTGAATTGATGTAGTCGTTACTCAATTAGATCTTCTTCTGCGGTAATTGTAAAGTGTGAGTTAAGCAGTGTGTACGTCAGTGTGTATATATATATATATATATAAATTTTTTTCTGAAAATGTTCATACAACTTGTTATTTTATTCATTTAAAAAATACTAAATCACGAATAATTAATGAAATATTTTTTAAATCCTTAATCTTTTAGTATTAACCTTAATATTATTAAATATTTTCTAATTTATTTACTATTTTTTTTATTCCTTAATTAATTTTCAAAAAATAATTGTTGAAAATAAAGTAATGTAAAACTCTTTCTCTCTCTTTGATAAAATCAGCTATTTTTCTACTTATAAAATGTTTTTATTTTTGATGTAATAAACCATTTTTGTTTTACAAACTAAAATGAGAACAACTGCTGCGAAATCATTGTTATGGGGTTTGCATGTGCTAATTCGTAGCGCGGTCAATTGGCCGAGTTTCGGCCGCTTCTAATAATAATCGATGCCTGCACGTCTCTCCAGGGATTTCTCTTCACGGATCCAAATCGATACCAAGACGACTAGCAGCGTTATACCGACTGCGATTTCTTTGCTACTAATCAGTTATGACGTATTTCGTTATTATACGCGACTTTTAAACTGGGAGCAGATGAGATCTATTTGCGTTACAATATGTAATACAACGTTGCAAATTTAACGTCATAAAAATGTTAATTATCCTGAAAAATTGTAGCGATTAACAACATTTTAACGTAATATAAAATTTTGGCGAACAAACACTAAAATTTTGCAATGTTGAAAATGATGAAAGATTATATATACTGCTATTTTTTAAATTATAATTTTTAAAGATTTGAATTGTATTAACTCTGAACATAAAACAAACCTAAATCCAATGTGAGAATGCCTTATTCAGTCTAATGAAGGCATTCGCGAAAAAATGAGATTGGCGAGAAGAAAGCAACATTTATGTATCGATTTATCGTTCGCAAATTTTTATCTATCTATCGATGTAGTTACGAGGAACTCAAAGAATTGTGCAATTTTTCGGCTTCGCCGATGAAGTGCAGGATCGTAAAGTTCGAGCTACAATTAATAAATAAATCTTGAATAAAAAAACAGGAGAAAGGAAGGAGGGATTTTCTTGTTAGAATAGCAAATGCTTTGTAAATGATACCAAGAAATACAAGCAAACGTTACAAGTATTCTTGGCATCTACACATCTTTGGTATCTTAGGTATTGCCAAATTTTATTGCGATACAGTATATGTACACAACAGCTTTTCCTTATGTGATCAGGTTCGTCATGATAATATCATTAATACTCAGAATAATTTGCAATGACGTGTCTGCTGTGCAATCAATTATCCCGCCTGAAAAAAATGTTTTCCGTATACAAGACAATAATACATGTAAAAAGGAAACGATAGTGAAAAGATCGAATTCGGACGAGCAAGTTCCTAATAAGAGATTTGACAAAAATATAGATTTAGAGGATACGTTCAATCCTGAACGAAAAAAAACTAAATTCTTAGCACAGAAATTAGCGAAGGAAGCTCTCGATTCACCGCAATTACAACGTAATATAAAGATATTGGCAAATCTGAGCGGGACTGTACAGAATCATTCTAACATGAAAGATTTACTGGTAGATAGAATGAAAAGTAAACCAACAGTAAGTACGAGAAAACTGAATGAATTATTAAATCGTGACAAAAAAAGGAAAAGAAAGAAAAATAAACATGGATTAAAACGGTACGAAGAACATCCTTGGTTACGCAAGCAAAATCATATTAAGGTGAATAAAAGAAAGATCTTATTATTTTTCTACTTAAATATTAATTTCATTAGTAACATTTATTCTCTAGAAGAAACGACGAAAAATAAATCTACCTGTTAATATCGATGAGACAAACCAAAATACTGTGAATAAAATGATTAAAAACAACATTGCTGAACGACACTTTGAAAAAGACAAAGGTCGCTCAAGACAAAGGCATCGAAAAATCAACGGAATGCCAAATAAGAAGATTAAACGCTTAATGCGCAAAAAGGATTTTAAAAAAGATTCCAGGAATCATGGATTTGTATCTTTGGAGTATTATAATAACGACAATGTCGAACCAATTAAAATGCAATCAAAAGATGAAACAGAGATTGGAAACGACAGAATCGCCAGGCAAATCTCAAACGGTTCTCTCTTTGCCAGAAAATCATTAATCAATCGTTCGCAATTCAAGCAGCAATTCACAGACAGAGATTCGTATGATAAAGATTTAACTTACGATTATGAATTGTTAAAACCTTGGGAGATCGATCACTCTGTGATCGGTCAAGCAAATGAAGATAACGCTGTCGATTACGCATCTACATACTTGCCGATACTGACCGATCAGAAAACCGATTCAGGAAGTCTGTACATCCCTGAAGTAACACAGAAAGATTATCAGTTTCAATTAGTATCGAATATTAATCGACCTAAAGAAAGCATATACATCAATGAGATGGAATCTCCTACCGAAAATTTTGTCAATTCTGATCTTGATTTCGCGAAAGTTCTTACTACCAGTGCGGATATCATTCTTGGTCCGCAAATCGAAGTTGAACATATTCCTAGCGATGTGCTACAATATCAGGATCTAAGAGTTCCTCGTCTGTATTCAAATTTAAATATTATACCAGAGATGAGCAAACCTCAAGAAGTGCAAGTGCTCTATTCCGGTACTTCAATGAATGTGCCACACATCCTTCGCAAAATTCCGGGAACTTTGAATGTCTACATCGCTGAGAAGGATGTTGGACCTGCAATAGCGCGTTTATCTAATGATTATCCTGTTATTTCCACGAGTCAAGTCATACACAAAATTATCAATCACGCTCCGGTATTTTCTCAATCAACTGTCAATCGACCAATAGAACATGTCTTGATTCCCGATCGAGAAAATGATATCAAACGGAATTGGTACAACAATGGTAAGAAACAAGGGTTAATTAAGGAGAAACAGAAAGCGATTCGAATTATTCATGGACCATTCCAAAGCGATGATGACACAAATAACAAATCAACGAACGACCAAATGCGTGATAATCTTGCACCTGTGATTTCAATAAAGACGGAAGAAATACAACGTGCGAATGTTTCTGCGACGTTAAACGAAACCAAGGAAGTTGCCAATCAGATATTGGAGAAGATTGTTGACGAATTGGAAGAAATTAAATCAAATCGAGCCACTGAAAATGAACAGATAGAAGGTTACTGCATAACCTTAATTTGCTTTAAATTCGATATTTAATTAATACTTGGCATCAAATATCAATAAGTTCTCTTTAAGAAATTTCGACTAACCAATATATCTATATCTTATTAATATAAAATTAAAATTTATGCATTATTTTGGAAGTCCAAGGCCAGCCATGTACGTTCACTGAAAAAAAATATAGTCAATTTTAATAAATGTTTAGTTGAATACATGCCAACTAAATATTTATTAAATATAAAGATATATTTATTTGATACAAGAAATGTTAATTTGATTTAACAACCAATTTTTTTTTACTAAACAAATATTTATTTACTGTAAGTAAATATTTAGTTGGCAGTATTGAACTAAATATTTATTAAAATTGACCATATTTTTTTCTCAGTATTCAAATAAACTTGTACAAATGGCTTACGCAAGCATATTTAACAAGTTTACTTGAACGAATGTGGCCAGCCTAAGAGAGCTTAATGTTAAAAATTCAAATAAACTTGTACAAATGGCTTATGCAAGCATATTTAACAAGTTTACTTGAACGAATGTGGCCAGCCTAAGAGAGCTTAATGTTAAAACAAAATATTGCTAAATAATGCTTTTCCAACATAGGTTTGCCTTGCAAGATATCGGGTTCGTGGATAACTATTCAGGGTGGAGTGCGAATCGACATGAAAGTTACTAATCGCACCATAAACGTGACCCTCGCAAAATTATCACCTCCGCCCGCTCATCAAGGTTTATTGAATCCTGCCTGGAATTTAACCGGATATGCACCATTTACGAAGGGTGGACCGTTTTCCTTACTTGCCATTGACAATCGCACGAAATCTCTGGCGGTGTTCGCAGGTACGATAGGCGACAGAGTAAATTAATTTTTTAGCATTTGATAAATATTACACGCGAGGAATCAGTCAAAAATTTTAAAAAAGATTTATAATAATATACACAGGTGCGTGTAGAGTATGCCAGGGTATCGACACGATAGTGGGTGTTTGGTCAATTGCTCGTAGCCCACAGGATTGCAGAGAGTTTCAGATAGCTACAAATATCTACAACGATATATTTCGCCGAACTAAACTGTCGTCAGAAATGAAAAAACAACATCAAGAGATCGTACGGTTACTTCAAAAAGGTAACAAGGATAATAGAACCGCTGAAATCTCGATGAATAATATAGTTCAACAAAATAGCACGTTGCAACCAAATAACACGCTGCAACAATACAAAGCAGAAAAGACTTAGATATCTCAACGAAAATGTAAAGAAACGTTAGAAAGACGATAAAAAAGTTCAGCGCTAAACAAAGTCTGTAAACAACAATAATTTATATAAACTCAAGAAAGTACGAGCAAATTGTTTAAAGATTAATAAATGTGTCAATATATTTTTTATCAATTTGACGTTACAACATAATTTAATGTATTAGAAAATATGTAGACAATTTTTAATAAACTTTGAATAAATATGATTAGAAATTGAATTCTTCTTCTTGAGTCAGAATACTGATCTTTCGACTTCAATTCGATCATCTTTTAATAATTTAAATGCATGTAATATTTGTCTCTCATATTGCTATTTGTACCAAATACAATCGATCTATCTTAATTCTGGTAAACATTGTCGAATAGCATTCATACCAGACACAGAGATCTGTAATCAATTTAAATTTAATAATTATTAACAAAGAGATAATGTATAATATGTATTACCTTCAGTGTTCCAATTTCTCTATTTTGATTATCCTTGATCGGCAACAACATATATTTGCACTCATCACCAAGCGCATATTTTTTTATATTAAAAGTTGCATAACTAAAAGAAATGTGAATAGAGAAATTAGTTATTAAAAATATTAAATCTCAAATCAATTTTATAAAACCATAAAATTAAAGATTATTGTAAGAAAAAACACGAAGTAATAGATATTGATTTCTATATACTTGCAATAATATTATGAACATTCCAAATAAAATAGATTTAATAGATCATTATACTTGCCCTACTTCCTCGCAATCTTTAACTTCCCTTTCCTCGGGTAATGGTTCACTAATAACAGTAAAATTGATATTTGGACTTATGTCTTCGGCTAACATGGCGCGCAAATTTTCTCTTTGTATGGGATGTGTCACTTCATTTATCCAAAATTCTAAAATTACGAAACTATTGTATTTATTTACGCTACATGCTTTCCGAATGATCATTTTTCTCATTTATAATTTACATCATATTTGTAGACGCGTCTTTTTATTAACTTATAATATTAATCTAAATATTTGCTGTTACGCATAAAGGTATATACTTTTCTTATAATTGTAGACCATTTCTTGAGCACTTGTTTTTGGTTTTTCCATGGAAATGGTCTCCATATCTTCGCCATGTTTCTCGAGGAAAGAATATTCTACGTAAAGCAAATGTATCTGATCGTCCTGCATCACGCAACTGTCGTCGAAAAATTGTATACTCACTATTTCTATAATTATCGCATCCTTTTCATTGCGCTGAAAAGAGCGTATTTAAATCAGAATTGCATTGAATTAATCTTCATACAATGTCACGTATACATTTGAAAATTGATATACTTTTAACGAAAATATGTTTAGGTATGCTTTTCCATCAGAAACGTGCTGGTGTACAATGCACTAATTTATTTGCATCAAGTATTATTAAAATGCTGTGTCGTAAAGTATGACAATTTATTGTGATAATAATATAATTTTCTTTAAATTTATGGATGATACATCTTCGATGAAAATTCTATTAGCTTATTCCGCAAATTTTAATTTTTTGCATTAAACAATAAAATCGGAAATTTGAATAAAATTTAATTGAATTTTTAAAAAATTATATAAATTCTGAAACTCAATTTACTGTAGCTATTTAACTTACAGCGTTAAATAACTAAACAGTATAAAATATATAGTCGGTAGCTTTTTTTATTACAGAAAATTTATGTTTGTAATCCAGCACTCTTTGTGGAGCATCTAAGTATAACTAATGGAACAGTCCCGTACGCAAATAGAGATGCCATTTTGGTAATCCTGCGCTTCCACGTTTAACGAGTTAGCTCCTGCAAGTGTTTTTGGATGACTAATTCAATACCGAGTTATTCAATCAGCATACATGAATACAGATGTAATAAATTATTAAATGTACTGGCAAAAGTCAGCAGACTCCTCTGCTTATACCTCTCCCAGTTTCTGTCCGAGAGAATCTCGTCCATATCCCGGATCGTGCTGTTTGATCCTTCGAGCAACGAAATATCCTGAATACGTCCGGAATCTCGATAATTTACAAATAACACGCTTTTGCTATTTCTCATACAATCGCGAAAGTTTTCCATATAACATGCTAAACATATCTTACATTCGCTAATAATGTTTTGAACTCCGCCACGCTTGGTGAATCCCTCGAAACATTATTTTCCTTACTCTCCTTACTTTTATCCGTTTTGTAATCTGGACTAATTAAAATTATTTTTCAAGTAGCAAAATTCAATTTTGCGAGCAATTTAAATAACATGAGAGAACACGAGATAGCAAAGAAGAAATCTCACTTCATTGCAATCGTTCCATTTTCTTCTTCAAACATTTCATTCGTTTCATTGATAGGCAATTCTTCATTATTTGAATTGACATAAAAATTTTCCTCGTCCGAGTTTTCAGTTTCATATTGAAAATCTATGATTTTGATAAAATGACGTTATGTATTGAAGTATTCAAAACATGCAATTAATATAATTTAATTCACCAATTGTCTTAATAATATTTGAATAATTGATTATAATATAATTGCTGCTAATGGCATACAATCCCAATCGACTTAATCATATACAAAAAAAGTATAAATATTTTTAATAAATTGCAGTTTTCAATCAAATATTCCAATCAAGTATATATACAAATCTTAATTATATACGATCGATCAATGTTACTTGAGTCTAATGGCGCTTGAGTATCCGTGTTTGAATCTTCAAACACCGAACTATCCTTTTGTTGCCGATCTCTGAACGACACTATATCGACGATATGTTTTGTAGAATGTTGAGGAAGTGGATTCTTAGATATATTCTTCTTTATTGAAGGCGCATGGATATCTTTCAACGAGCTTATACCGCCTTGCTTCTTAAAAGCTTCGACCATATCGACATTGCAGCTCAACCGGACCCACAACGATAGTTGGCCGAAATTAACGCCGAAGAAGGAACAAATTACACTGTTCACAGGAACGATATAATGCAACTTGTTTTGCGGATAATCTAAGATATCTTTGATGGAGACTTTCGCTCGGGCGAATGTGTAGCTAGTACCGTCTCGGCGAACAATGTTCACTCGGAAGATGAGGTATTCCGACAGCACATTTTTGAAGAATGAGAAGAGATCCGTTATACGATATACGCAGGACGAATTAAAAATCAGATTAGGGCACTTCATTCTCGGTGTATAAGCGGTCTTTTCGCCCCAAACATCCCAGCTTACGTAAATGTGAAGACTACATATATCATCTTCGTCGGGAATATTTGTAACCTAATCTCAATGAACATAACAAGATTATATTCTCCACTCCAAGAAACAATGGAAAATGTATGATATACTAACCGATGTAGAAAGTTGCAATCGCGAAATGTGAATCTCAATGAGACCTTGCCTGTCAGTAATTAATAAAGGATCCATTGGACACATTGGTAACATTATACTGTCGTTCAAACACTCGGTTGTGCAAGGTAATTTTCGCTTCTCCTGTAGGGACAGTGGATCTTTCGCTTTGCGCAAATGACATGTTAAATTACATTTGGGATAACGGGGCGATTTTAATCTTTTTATCTTTACCATCTTTTCTGCCTAAATAAAAATCATTGACATTACACTATGCTATAATTTAATGCTTCATGGAGAACTATTATAATTGCTTACGCAAACATCTTTACTAATATCTCGATATGATGATTTTCTGTGAGCCATACGACAGGAAGTAGCATCAAATATGTTTTTCATTGATGAACTCGCTAAGATGGTTGCAGGTTTTTTTTTGCATGCAAAATTGCAGTTCTTGGAGTAAAAGGCAGTCGATTTAAGAGAACAGCTCGTACAACGATCAGATTCTAAATTCGCAATAGTTTTTAAAATTATTGGAGGTATAATCACTTGTTATCGCACTTTTAGATGCGTTTGTTTTCGTATTAAAAGAGTTTGTAAAAATCTTAGATTAAATGATTATCATTACCGAAATCTTTCGTGGCTCCTGTATTAAAATCACGTTGCTTAATATCGCGAATAGTTTTTGTAGGAAGATTGTTGTTAACGTCAATTAACGGATCTTCGACCGCAGATACTTGATGATCCAAACATAGTTTTCCATCAACGTTAGTAAACGATAAGAATTCTTGCATAACATCGAATAAAATCAAAAACATTTGACCTAGTGTTATATTTGAATTTTCCAAATATGCGAATCTTTTCTGTAAATTCTCCTGCATAGCGCTTGATATATCACGCTGAGAAGATATTTCTCCACCACTGCAATAGATACTAGTGATATTAAAACTCTAATTTTTTAATTTTTAATAATGTTAAAAAATATGAAAAACAAGGTATGAAACAAGATATATAAAGTTACAAAAAAATACAAAATCGTAGTAGAATATTAAAAATGCATGTATACAAAAAAATGTTATACACAACGATGTACTTATTTAAATAAATAGAATATATATAAAATGTATATATATTTATAAATAAATAGAATATATATAAAATGTATATATATTTATATCTTACAATATCGAGAAATTATTAGATTTTTGAACACACAAGGTTTTCTGTAATATGTACAAGTTATTGATTTCTGCGACACAAGGAATGCAAAGTATAAAATACCAATTACAATTATTGAATCAAGGGAATATGCAGAGAAAATCCTTGATTAAAAAATAGATATATGTCGCTCATGATACAATACCGAACGGTAGAGTTTCTGTCAACAATTAGAATCACCGAACAGTAGCTTCTCGAGGGGTACGACTTGCCTGTGCCTCTGAGCTACGTCCAAAATGCCCGCGCATTCTTTCTTAGGAGTGATCCTTGATGCATCCAAAGGAGTGTTAATTTGTGCTTGATCTAATAATTTTAATATTTTTTCTCGGGATAAAACACTCGTGCCATTCGCTTCCTGATTTTTCTTCCATTCCTTCAATGGCGATTGAGACGATGTCTTATCTTCATTATTTGAAATTATCATTGTATCCTGTTCCCTTGTGCTAGTAATAACGATTGTCTGTACTGATTTATCTGCCGATTGCCAATCTTCTCTAGTGTTACCAACAGTTTTTTCCAGTTGAATAATTTTATCGTACATTTCGCAACACTTTTTACATTGTTCCACACCCGATGGTACCGTTATTGTAAAGTCCTGCTTTTTATCTTGCGTATGCAAAGACTGGAAATATTACAAAACTGATAATGAGAATTAATCAAGCATTAAGCAATTTTTTAATTAAATATACAGTAGATATATATACTAACCGTTAATTGTATTGTCAAAACATCTATATTTGCCTGCAATTCTTGAAGTTTCGCGAGCAATCGCTCATTGGTAGCTTTTAATGCTATAATATTAACCTGCTCAATGTTGAAAGCAGTCTTCAAAATCTGTTGCTCCTGAGTGTCGTCGCAAAGTCTTTTTTTTAATTCAATATTCTCTACTTCAAATTGCCCGTATTTTGACGTAAGCATAATAAGTTCGTTATTGTGTTGTTGCAATATTTTAATTTCGTTCATAAGATCTCGTATCTGTTCGTCTTTTTCGCGTAATATAAATTGTGAAGTCTTTGCCTTCAACATCTGGTCATCGATCTCGGCTATGCGTGTTCTCTCCGAGGAAAGAACAGCCACTATTTCCTGATTATTTCTAATAAAATAATAAATTTTCAAATTTTAGAAATATACTATATTTAACCATTTTTCTCGTAATATCTAAGTTATAAATACATATATATTAAACAATTTATTATATCTACAAGAGAATGAGAGACTGATAGTAAATATACTTCGTCGTTAGTACAAGAGTTGTCTTCAAGTCATTAATTTCGGTAGTCAATGCAGTATTTTTCTCCTGGGTTGTCATTAATTTATCGTTTAATTGCTTCATTTGTCGCCACACCCGTATATACTCTACATTTTCCGCTACTTTCTCTTTTTGATTATTGGTTAAATATGCCAGTTCTTTCTCCAATTCTATTATACGACATGTCATGTCTTTCTTCTGCGCCTCCAATTTCTACGAACAAAAGTTGGACGCTAAGTAAGAATTATGTAATATTAATAACGAGCAAGTGTGTATGCTCTCGTAAAGTTGTGCTTCGTCCGAGTATCAAATCAAGCAAAGGAACTCATGCAATAACATTTTACATATTTTATGCTGTTTTACATTATTCCGCAAATTCGTTTTACTCTATATACGCAAAATATGACATTGATTGTGCCATACGAATGAAGTAGATGAGACAATATGAAGTTGAATATATAGTGCAAATATAGAGTTTATTCGGACTAGTTTTACCTCGATTTTAACGAGGTAATTTCGTATGTCGTTATCATCGTCCCCTGCCCCGACGATGCACTGACAGGATGGCGCTCTCACACGGTTATTCTCGCTTCGACACGTCCTAAAGATTCAGTATTTCAATGCGCCACGACATAATGAGTCATAGTATATACATATACCTAGTACATATACTTACACAATACCGGAAGACGATGGTCTAACGAGATTACGGCTGCGCGACGACGACCTGCCGCTCATTGTGTGACTCAACAATTGATTCTTCATCACGGCGATTTTCTCCTTCAGCTGAAACATTTAACAATATTTCAGAGAATATTCAGTTTTTTAATTTATGATCATACAGGTTATATATAATCCTTAGCATGCGTTAATTTCGTTAAAAAGTATCATGATATAACTTAATATTATTATGAACAATTTATTAGGTGTTAACCTTAATTTCTGCCGTTTTTTGTCTCCAAAATTGATTTGTTTCGAAGGAAAGATGAATGAATACCTTAATCAAAGTAATTTCTTCCATTTTCTACTTTATTACTAATTAATAACTTTATTACTAATTAATACTTTATTAATAATACTTTGATTAAAGGTATTTCCCTACGAAATAAATCAATTTTGGAGACGAAAAACGGTAAGAATTAAGTTTAACACCTAATAATAATCTATGTTGTACAAAAATAATGTACAATAGAATATTTACATTATTCTTTCGAGTGGAAGATCCAATTATTATGTCATGATACGAGAAAGAAAGAATTGCCATTACTTGGAGGTAAGTTACCTTGGTATTTTCAAGCTCGAGAGCAGCAGTTCTATTCTTATCATCGGCGATATCTAATGTTAATCCACACAATCTTGGATTACCAGCCAATCTAATCAGCTTCGTTCCGAGCCGCTTGATCTTGTCCTCCTGGCAGTTGGATAATTTCTTCAAATTACTTGCTTCATCGAGTAAACGTAGATACTTATCCTCCAGCTGATAACGATCGAGTTTGCAAACGAGATGACGTTCTCTAGGATCTTCCAATATTCAAAATGTTATTCACGCACTTTGCACATCGATTCGCGCGCGCTTGTATAGGAAATAAGGCTGCAAATCAGAGGAGTATCGAACAGCTGGCTATAAATTATCCAACTGGAATTATATACGACAGATACAAATGGATACGAACCTATAGCACTGATAATCGTGTCCACGCAGGAGCCTTCCTTTACAGGTAAGATGTCACGATTCGGATCGTCTGCCATTTTCAATCGGAATTCCGACGTCTTAGTAGATCAAACGAAAAGTATCGTCTACAATTTCGAGACGACGTTGATTAGCATGCGGATGTCAGCGGACACTGAAAATTCGACATGTAGCGTGGAATTAGCGCTATTCGTTCGCGAGATACTGTGAGCGCATCAAAAGGATTTAATTTGAAAAGAGACAACGCGTGACATATAGGAATAACGATTCTTCTAGATCATCATTGCCTCTTATGAGAGAGAGAGATCCAAATTACATTTATAAAATATCCTTCGCGCTGTCTTCGCCGAAATAACGATTTTTTCTCCAATCATTTGCACAAGAGTAATTAAACATGTCTGTCGATTTTGTTCCATTACCGATTTGCGAACGAGAGAATTCGAGTGATCGATAACACTCTGTGATTCTACGCTAACTTCAGTCTATAATAAACGATCATTCATCATGGTATAAAGTGCTGTTTACATTACCGTGATCATTTTTTTCGTGCGAAGAGTTTGACAAAAATATATCGGGTAGCGTTTGCAAATTTATTAATTACATCAATGTTATAATTTTTTATTTAATTTAACAATACAACTATTAGATATAATAAGTACATGTGTTAATTGTATTACATTTATATTGTTGAGTGGAAAATTATAATATTGATGTAAAGTTACTGTTAATTCAATGTTCTGCAAGATGTGAGTCGCGTGGAAGTGAATTAATGATTAATAACGCTATATAATAATAATAATAATATATATAC